TTTTCATACTTTATTAATGATCAATTTATCATTTCTAAATTATTACATTATTTACAAACCAGTTATTTAGTAGTTCATAAGATCATTTAGAAAGTGTATGTAAATGATTAATAAACTATTTAAATGTACATTTATAAATCTTATTATTTAAACACATGATAATAGTGGCACAGTGTGCTAATAAATGCTTTATTAACACATATTCCTGCTGTAATTCATGATTAGGTCAGGTAGTTATAAAACATTTAGAAGCTGCCAGCCATCTATTTTTGTGAGCTCATCTAAAGTGAGAATAGTTTATACTTTGTAAAGCATTTACAAAGGAGATTTAAAAGCTCATTAATCTTCCAAACAGAAAAGTTAATCAAACACAAACACAGAGGGATACAGAAAACAAAAATATTTTTTCAAGATTGAAAAAATGAAGCTGTACAACTGTCAACTTGATAAAAAAAGAAGAAAAACCCTCTGCAATTTCATAGAAAAAAATTAAGTGTACAGCTTCTTTTTTTTTGCATTTTATTGCAAAAGTGTTATGTTTCCCTCTGTGTTGTGTTTGTTTATTTTTTCTGTTAGGAAGATAACTGAGCCTTTAAATCTCCTTTGTAATAGAAATGCTTATAAATCAAGAACAAGGCATTTATTGCTGTATTTATAAACTGCTTACTAATGGCTATTAATGTTGGGACAATGCTTTAGAAAGGATTAACTGACTATTTACTAATGCTTACCTAATGATTCATAGCGTGCAGTTATATAAAGTGTTACCAAATTATGTTGTCAGTGCTCTACAAATTAAGTGGTATTTCGATTTTTTTGTCCCTAAAACTGATAGAAAAGGATAAGGCCTAAGAGAGTTCTTAAGAGGTAATGAAAAAAAAATTACTGATTATTTTTTTCTGGTGATTAAAGATATGTTTAAAAGTTTCTCTCTCTCTCTCTCTCTCTCTCTCTCTCTCTCTCACCCTCCCCTTCTCTCACTCCCACTCTCAAAACACACACACACTCACCCAGCCCCCACCTCCTCCCTTCCTCACACAGGCAGTGGCAGAGTGAGATCAGATGTCTTACAGTTTTTTAATTTTCTGTTATCCATAGAGTGTTGTAAAGTAATGAAACTGTGACTATTTCCTCAGAATGACTTGTTCTATGTATGTAAAAAGTTTTGAACTGTTTGGAAGCTGCATTTTAATAATACATCACAAATACTCTGTCATTTGTTTGCTGTTATTTTAACAAATCACCACGGCAAAACTTCTCAAGCTATGCAAAATCCATCCTCAGTATAAGTTCCTCAATGTTTTGGCATCATGTAGAAAAAGTTTGGTGTGTATAGCGTAATTGTACTCTGAGGAGTATTCATTAATTCACAGCTATATTTTTCCAAAAATCCATTTTCAAATCAATATAGCCGACTTCCTGTTGATCGTAGCTAATGACTGTAAATTAAAAAGTTGTCCGGCTTGATGAGAAGAATATAGGTGCCAAGTTTGGTGACTGTAGCTAAAACTAACCCTCCAAGTTTTGTCAAAAGGTGGCGCTATAGAGTGCCTCTTCCACGCCCTTTTATGAGCTTTTCCCAGTGTCTATCTATAATTATTACTGACATGTGTGTTGCGTTTCAAGAAATTCTAAGCATGTTATCTGCACGTAAATCACCAGAAAAGAATATTCAAGTTTGACACGTTGCCAAGGCAACAATATTTCAGATAACAATATCCCCTCACCAGTTTTACATCGGCCGTGTTTTGACATTATTCTGAAGAAGTTTGAAGCAAATCGGGTAAAAATAAGATGATGAATTAAAAGCATTTTGAAAATGACACACTTCCAAACGCCAGTTGGTGGCGCTATGACTTTGAATCCTAAAAGTCACATCAATGTGATCGGCATCATACAACAAACAAATTCCTGCAGATTAATCAAAATCAGACAATGTATGTGGATGCTATTAGACACTTCCTGTTTCTCATTTCTCGCCATAACTTCACTGCCTCGCCACGGGCAAACAGTTTGAGATATCAAAAATCCCTTGGCAATTTAACATCCCCAATGTCTTGAGATCATGTTCACCGAGTTTGTTGCAATCGGTGGGAAATTCTCAGAGGAGTATATCAAATTCCAGAGCATGCCCTTTTCAAATAGCCCTGAATAGCCAACTACCTGTTGGGCCGAGCCTAAGACATGCAGCACAAAAGTTGTTTGGCTCAATGAGATCTATACGTGTACTGAGTTTCATATGAATATGTGCAAGCATGTGTGAGCAATATATCAAGATTTCTGACTGTGTTCCAGGAGGCGCTGTAGAGCCCTGTGCCACGCCCGGGTCCCATCCTCTGCGGCATCCTAATGACCGCAGATTCCAATGTGTGTACCAATTTTCAAGAGTTTTGGAGCACGTTAAGGCACCCCAAAAAGCCCCGGATAGTCAAAATAAAAATAAAAATAAATATAGCTGCTAGCAGCGATGGCGGGCCCAAGTCGTCAGTGCAAACGCCACCCCGGAGGCATCAGGAGAACGGTGCACAGCGAGCACATGCATTTACACTAACCGTCTGTCAGTCTGGTTTTAAGGGATACGGCAATTAAAGGGTTAATCCAAACCATCAAGACTGTGGAACACACATTTTATGAATAACAAGCTAATTAATTATAAATTTATAAATCTTACATTTGAAAATCTTATTATTTAAACACATGATAATAGTTGCTCAGTGTGTTCATAAATGCTTTATTAAGATATCCCTGTTGTAATTCAGGATTAGGTCAGGTAGTTATAAAACATTTAGAAGCTGCCAGCCATCTATTTTTGTGAGCTCATCTAAAGTGAGGATTGTTTTAAAGCGTTTACAAAGGAGATTTAAAAGCTAATTAATCTTCCAAACAGAAAAAGTTAATCAAACACAAACACAGAGGGATACAGAACACAAAAATATGTTTTCAAGATTTAAAAAATGAAACCGTACAACTGTTCACTTGATAAAAAAAAGAAAAATAAACCTCTGCAATTTCATAGAAAACAAATAAAGTGTACAGTTTCTTTTTTTGCATCTTGAAATAAATATTCTGAGTTCTGTATCCCTCTGTGTTGTTTTTGTTTATTTTTTTCTGTTAGGAAGATAACTGAGCCTTTATAGCTCCTTTGTAATAGATATGCTTACAAATCAAGAACAAGGCATTTATAACTGTATTTATAAACTGCTTAC